GAATAAAGAATTGGAAGCGAATATTGAATGCATTACACCCTGGAATCACTGTGTACCTCAGAGTAAGTATGAGCAAGTACGTACTGAGATATTTTTATTTTATTCTCATTTAAAAAAAAAGACCCATTAAAATCCTGTTTCTTGTTTCATTAACATTAAATTGATCTCAAGATAAAAAATTTTGTCAGAGTTCATTCAAAAATTAGTTTTTAGCTTTGACCTATTAACAGGCTACTAAATATCAACCGTGGTGCTAGATGCTAGAATACAGCTGTGCACAAGTATGGTCCCATCCTCACAGAGCTTATGGTCCATAGAAATGGAGACAATAAGTAGGCAGTTATGACGGAAGTCTGTTAACTGCCAGAATGGAGGATGTACAGAGTGTCAGTTTAGAGCTCTTTTGGAGTAGAGAGTGGGGTGCTATGGAGGCAAATTGGGAAGGGACCCTATTCCAGATGTAGGATGGGGGATTGGAGTGATAAGGAAGGCTTCTTGTGGGAAATAATGTATAAGCTAAGACTGGGAAGATGAACCAGACTAGTAGAGGGAGGACAGGAAAAAGTGTCCTAGACCAGAGGAAAAACACAGTAAAGAAGACTGAAATGAACACTTTGCACTTAAAGAACTGGTTGAAGTGGATATGGACAGGGGTGGAAGGAGAGAATAGGCAAAACCCAAATCTATTAAAAAGTTATATCTTTATCATGAGAGCAATGCAGTATTAACCAGGAATTTTTAAGTAGGTGAATAATGTGTTGAGATTTTCCCACTTTGGGTACACTGGAGAATAAATTGGTGGAAAGCAGGAGAGGCTGGGAGATTAATTTAAGCAGTGAAATATTATGGTAGCCGAGACTAGGATAGTGGCAGTGTGATGGTGGTGGTGATCTCACTTGAGACATTTAGGAGCTAAAATAAACAGGACTTGGTGATTTAGGGATTTTTGGTTGAACATCTAAGTTAATAGAGACTTTTTTAGGTTGACATTAGAGAAATAAACTTCTAATTAATTCGACTACTGGCTTTCCTGTTTTTTTCCTGTTTTGAAACATTCGTTTTTCTTGCATTGTTTCTTAGTGTTGTGGTACTTTACTGATTTTTGAGCTAGTGGACATCAAACTTTTCTCTGGCTATTCTTTTCTATCCTGAAACTTTTCCATGGAAAAATAGATCACGTTCTGCTGCAAGATTATGAAGGTTATCAAGCAATTTTTCATTCCTTGCGGGAGAGGGTATCCAAACCTGGAAAGTCAAAGAAGTGGTTATTGAAATGAATGTGAAGTTTTGGTACCAGACTAGAGATGTAGAAGAGTATAATGTGAAAGTAAAGGTCTCCTTTCCTTTGTTCAATTTCCAGTTTTATTTCCTGTGATTTTCTTAACAGTTAATTGTGTATCTTTGTGTTAAGTTTCTTATTTATCTTTCATGAAAATGTTTAATGCACGTCAAGTATGTTAATATATTTTTTGCCTCCACTCTCATGGTTTACGTATTGTTTTGGACCTTGTTTTCTTCACATAATAATTACCTTGAGGATCTTCGTATACAACTCTGTCTTATCCTTTTAAAGGCTTACACAGTGTTTCACTGAATGAATGTACTGTAGTTTATTTATCAAGTCTCCTGTTGATGGGCATTTTAATTGTTTTTGTTTTTTTCCCTTTAATTTAGTGCTGCAGTAAATGCTAATATCTGAGTATATTAAACCCAGATTTGTATCACAAGTCTGTTGTGTATGAGCCCTGTAAAATTATTCAACTTACTATTATGTCTGAATGCAGACTTAGACAATCAAAGATGAATTCTTAAAAATTTACTTAAGTTTTAAGTGAAGTCTGAAAGAGAAAGAGAAATACTGCATAATATCACTTATATGTGGAACCAAGGAAATAATACAGATGAATCT